TTTTTAAAAAAGCATAAAAAGTTGCTAAAGCATATATCTGGTAGTTGAATGTCGGTTTAAAAATGAGAAAGAAAAAAACAAGGGCCAGGGATTTAGCTCAGTGGTTCTGGCACCTATGTCATAAGCACAAGGTCCTGAGTTCGATTCCTGGTACACACCCCCCCCAAAAAAAGAAAAGAAAAAATCAAAAGGAATCTATGCTCTAAATTAGGAATCAGCAAACTACAGCAGGCACACAGGCCAAATGAAGACAGCTCCCGCTTTGTGGGGAACAGGGCCATATCCACCGGTTAGCTGCTGTCTTTGGAGGCTTTCACATGTGCAACAGAAACCACATGGTCCACGAACCCCAAAATAATTACTATCTGGCCCTTTAAGAAATGGCTTTTTCTTTGAGAGCAAAGTGAGCCTCTAAAGATTTTCAGAGCCTTTCTTTTTTAAATTTATCAAGGATTTCCCTAGTTTATCTTCTTACAAATAAAAACAAAACCAACTATGAAGTAGGATTTGGTAGCCTCATTTTTTTCTAACATGATTAAACCAGTTTACAGCTTCAAGGTGGATTTTTTTCTTGTTTTTGTGCTAATCTCAAAGTCTATAATGAAAGTCAGACAAAAAGAAGAGGAAGAAAAAAGAAGGGAGAAGACAGAAGGAAAAAAGAAGGAAAGAAAGAGGAGGAGGAAGACAAAGAGGAAGAAAAAAAAGCAACACACAAAAAAGAAAAAATTATAATTTCATGTTATCATTACTTTATTTCAAATGCCCTGAATTTAATAAACTAGCTCACATATTGCCAGTTTCAATACATTACAGCTAGGGAGTGGCTGTTATTTGGAGAGGGTAGGAGGTAGGAAACACATGTACACATACAAGGCTGGAATTCCCTTCATATGAACCCAGCAAAGAACACTGTAAACCCAGAGGCTGCTTCTCCCAACCATAAACTTCTGTGTGTTTTGGATTAATAGTTTAAATATATTCTTTGACGGCCTTCAACTTCACTTACACAACCTTCGGGTACACCCATGAGCTGATTAGTAATTTAAGGCCTGAGAAGAACACAGTTTCAAAAGGAAATACACAGAGACATGAATGAGTTTAATATGCAAGTACACTAGCTAAAGGGCATAATTAAAACTATATCACTCCTTTGAATCTACATAATTATGTCCCAAAGACATTCTCATTATTATCTTTTACTCTGACACTAAACCAGAAAGGGCTTCATGTCTACATGGTTGGGAAATAAATATAAATTAAAAAGTTAAGACCTATATGAGTCAAAAATAATGCTTGCCAACAAAATACAATGACTGAATTTTTAAGTGCTAAATACAGTCAACCACCATTGCTAGTGCATGTCCAAAACAGAATATATCATCACAATATCAGTGAGTGATCTTATGCCCCAAATTTCAGAGAGGAAAACAACTAGAAAGACTTAAAAAATTATTTTTAATTTTAAAGAGAGAAGGCTGCTTTTTTTGATACTAACTCAACTGGAAATCTCTACTAACCAACACTTCCTTTACTATACAATGATAATTGATGCTCCTAATGATCAGCCTGAAGCAGTTCCAAATCCTGAAGTTCATTTTAAATCATTAAAAAGAAGATGAAATTATGTTCACTATACTTTCAGTAATAAGTGCACTTCATTATATTCTCATTAAGATTAGCAATATATTTAGAATATACAGGGCAACTGTCCATCAAGAGGCTATTAAAAATCAGATATTCATAGGGGCACTACTGAAAAGCTCTTATGTTATAGTCAACTGAATATATACGGGAAAAATGATCACTTCAATTTTTGGGTCATAAAACTAGGGAGTATTATAAAAGATTCTACCCTAGCGATTGAAGGAATTTTAAATCTCCTTTTACCGGACATATTATCCCAAACAATGCCCTTGATACCCTCTGCTTCTAATGGCAGTCACCAAATCCTCCAAAGCAGAAGCCAGAAGACCAATGAGGAAGCTACTGTAAAGACCCAGATAAGAGGGACTAGTAGTGTGTGGGCCAGCTCTGTGGCCACTGATGGCAAGACGTGATGGTGTCAGTCAGCTTTCCATTACTGTACACATACCTGACATAATCAGTTTGTAAGGAGAAAAGATTATTTCAGCTTACAGTTTTGGAAGTTCAGTCCATGACCAACTGGCCCCACTGCTTCTGAGCCTGAGGTAAGGAAGCAGTCCTGGTGGAGCAAAGCATGGCACCCTGGAGGCAAAAGAGGAAGGGAAAAGGTTTCCACTCCCCCTCTTAAGGCAGGCCACCAATGAGCTGAAGACCTCCTGCAAGGTCCTACCTCTTCCTGCTTCCACCACAGCCCAACAGCGCCACCTGGGGACCAATCACGCAGCCTTTGGGGACACTCATTTCCCAACTATAGCTAGCAGTGAATACCTCAGATTAAGATGAAATAATTTGCTGACAGTACAGGTACTGTAAGAAAAAGTTGTCAAAGACTACACACATGAAAGCTTTTGATCCAAGCCAACTGAAACAGTGGAATTGCCATTTTCTGAATAGGGAAGACTGGAGAAGGAGTTGCTTTGGGGCAGGATGGTAGACTAGGAGCTCAGTTCTGTAAACTTTAAATGTGGGATACCTCGTAAACAGTACTGTGTTTGTATGACCTAGAAAGACCATACATAAATAAAATAAATAGATCTATTTATATTGTATCTAAAATATAAAATAGATATAAAATAAAGCACTAACCTGTACCCTGGAACACAAAACTATCCAAGAACAACATAACACTGCCTTAGGAATGTTGAACATCTAAGACATCTCTGTTGGCTAGGATGTACCACATCAAATATCCCATGGACTCTTCTGAAGCAGTTCTTCATTTTTTAAATCAGCAAGTAAATTTATCTTTGCTACAAAGGAAGAAAGATGGCTATTGTGAAATCAACCAGAGGGAACCCTGAATTGAGCAGGTCCTTAGACGTAATTCTGAGAAAGGTACAAATTATTGTAGGGAGGATATCCTAAGTAAAACTGCAGTCAACGCCGTCAAAGGTGACAGAGGATGACACAGTGCTGGAAGGTGATCCAAGAGATTTCTGCAATGATGACTTCTGTGGAGTCAAATGTTGCCAAAAATTCTAGTACTCAAAAATGTAAGACAAACATAAAGTCCAACTGTATTTTTCAATGACTACCAAAAGTTAGCATTCTGGCATTTAACAGAAAAGAGAATTCTGGGTAGATCTTGGCACAGCACTCTCACACAACTTTCTTTGGAAAGTGGACACTTAGAGGAAATCCAAACACGTGTCAAACAATCACTCATTTTGATTTTTTAATCTCTCTCTCTCTCTTTGTAGTAAGATCACCAGACAGCAATGAAATCAACCTGTAATTTCTCAGCATTCAGCAGGAATATGTTCACTAGATTTAATAGCATCCTCACAGCTTCACAAAGGGTCAATATAAAAGTTATCTACTTGAGTAATAAATGGTTCTATGTTTTAGGCCAAACCACAGTTTAAAAGAGATTTAGAGTTTATGGTACACTTCATGGATCATAAAATAATCTTATGTCCCAATTCCATGTGTCCAAATCCTACTACTTTTCAGGGTTCAGTTCAAACATCAATTTCTCCCTGAAGCCCTCCAAGTCCCCTGGGGGGAATGTACTATTTCACTCTTAGCCCACCTTAAGCTGTACTTACCACTTTCTATCTCACATTACATGAGAAATTAAGAACTGAGTTACCTTACCAGGGACATTAATGTACATTCATTAAGTTATGTGAAAGATTTCCAAATATCCCATAAATGTTACTTGAATTTAAATCTGACAAAATATATCCTTGAGGGTAATTTAAAAACCATATTATAATAAAATAGAAGTTACATCAATCTAGTATGAACTATGGTTCCTGAGGTCTGAAGTCTTACCTTGTGCCTACATTTTTTTTTAAGTCACAATCCCTAAAATATTAGCAGAGAGAACAAGAAGGTAAGAGGGAGAGAGGGAGAGGTAAGCTCTTCTAGTCTTACAAAATTATATTACCTTCTAAAAATGAGGATCATGGACTTTTTCTTCTTTGTCTACCTTAGCAAAAGTCAGACCTCAAGTAAAATAACTAATTTGGATAAGCCCAGCATCATTTATTTGTTTCAGTATTGTTTTATTTTCAATCTTTCTAAATGAAGAAGACAAAACCATCAAGCCTATCTACTGCATGTAGTATGGCCTATCCAATAGTCAGAAAGATCATGAGAATCCTGGAGCTTCTTTTTACTACAAATTCATTGATTTTCAGGATGTTCCCTGGCAAAATTCAAATAACAATACCCACTTTCCCATGATGAGTTTCTGATACTTAAATAAGAATACTTAAATAAAGTACCAGGTATACAGTAGAACTCAATAAATGTTAGCATTCCCCTCTCTAAAAGTTACTCCAAATGGCTGAACCATGCCAGAGGACCACAAGTTTACTCTGAATCAACCTGTTTTCTAAAGGCCTTTAACATGTTCAACTGTTTCTAAGAAGAGTAACTTTTTTCATCCCATTTGCCTCTATCAATAACCTGAAATATATCCCTTTTTTACTGATGCTCTTTCCTTCACTGTAGATAAACCCTACAAGGGATAAAGAAAATGTGTTCTTCTAGAACATGGGTTTATCTTATGAAGAAAAAAATAATACCAAGCAATCAGTATGGCATTCATGGTCTCCTTGCTCTAAGGATAAGCAACTCTATAGATAATAGTCATATGAGTAAATTATCTGGCTAGGAAAGTTCCCTGAAAAAACAACACATTCTTAATCTTCTATACTTTTAAAATAAAAAGTATGTCTCTATTACAATAGGAAGACCCAAAAAGAAAAAGAAAAAAACAAAATAGCACATTTTGGAATTCTGAAGAAAGAAAACTAATGACTTGACTTACTTAGGTCACTTTCAACTGAGGAATAATACTGAAGAAAGACTAGGTACAGAGTGTTCTGTCCAACACAACAAAGTAGATGGGGACCATATACAAATTCCAAAACATAGTTCCTGCTGCTTAGACACTGCAAACCTAGTTGAGATGAAAGGGATGCTAAGGGGGAAGAGCCACTGGCAGAGGTATTAGAAAAGGATTAACACTGGGGCTGGGCCTTATGGGATAAACATCCTCGTGGGAGGATTCTTTAGCTTTTACCAACAGTAGCTTAAACTAAATCTAGTTCATCCCCAGAGTATTGAAATTAATTCTAATTAGTTGCCTCCTGATATTAAGACTCCTCTCCCACATCAGTAAGTTCAACTTCCTCCTTTCCTATAGGTAATAAATCTGTACATATTTTATAGGTAGATTACATTTGTCTTTAAAAAGATCACATACTGCTTTAAGAATGACCTCAACTGAAAATCAAAGTTTAACAAAACTCAGCTTTAAAACAATGAACAATACATGCCATGCTATCCATAGAGAGGAGTTATTAGTTGGAATAAAACATAACACTGTTGTAAACAGAGACTAAATGGCTTGACTACAGCATTATTCAAATTGGATCCTTTGTGTAAAAGGCCTCAAGGCACAATCAATAAGTTATTAATTAAAATACATGAAACTGTAGAAGATAATAATCATAATAAAGTTCTGTTAAAATCATGTTTAAGTGTTGACTTGTCAGAACAGGCCCATTAATAAAGACAGATTTTTTTTTAACTATTCCTAGAGGCTCCATAAATTCAGTAATAACTGTAAGAGATAACACTAAGAGACAGAGAATGCTTCATATAGGATGCTTTTCAGAAATCATCTTGACTCTAGTTCTTTGAAGTTCAAACATGAACTACAGAAATATAATGCTTAACTCACATGTGTTGAGGCAAAGCTTTGCAAGGGATAAGGAAGCAAGAAGGGCAAAAAAGTAGTGTCCCAAAGTCCCTAAATCAGAAAGCTCCAGGTTGAATCATCTGCCATGTTCCTGCCTGTGGAAAACACGTGAAATTCTCCATGAGGAAGGCTAATGTCTTATGGTGTTGTGGGACTAGATTAAATAAGAAGCAGGAATAGTATAAAGCAGTATGCCTGCTTTGCCAACTCCTACCTTATGCACTCTAGCAAGTTGCCAGAGAAACCCAAATAGTGCCGACTTAATCGACTACAAATGTATGCCCTAGTCCTGTTTTCTCAATAGTAAACCAGACTTAAATAGTAATGTCTATCTATTAACTATATTATGAATTATAGTGCCTGGTAACCCTGCTATCATTTAGCATCTTTTTTATTTATCATTAGTTAACTTCCTGGCATACTTCTAGAAAGTATCATTTAATACTTTAACTTTCCGTAAGCTTCACTGCACCAAATCCTTTAACTGATCCCCTCCATCTACCTTCTACTGTACTTTATTAGAAAGACACACAGAGCACAATTTTCCAGATTTCTTTCTTCCTGAAACACTACCTCACCACATTCTCATGTCTCATCCATCCTTCATGCGTCAGATAAACAAGGTTATTCACTGGTCACCTTCTGCAATTTGTTCACTCAAATTTTACTGAGCATCTAGGACCTGTCAGGCACTGTCGTGTGCTGGCGTGAGATGGCAGGAAAGAGAGGCAGTCTCCATACTCAGGGAGGATCAAAGAGCAGGGAGAACCACACGCAGTAGCAGTCACTTACAAGTGTGTGGTTACCTTTCATCTCCTCAGGCCCTGCTTCCTCAGTGATCTCCAACCCATATTCCATTCCCTTGAGTTTCACTGCTTTTGTTCACCCCAGAACGAGAACAATCTTTGCTTGGCATGGCCACCTCTATGGCTAATATTTTCTACCTGTTTCCTGATTTCTCAGACTCTTGGAACAAATATGCTACTGCCATTGTTCCCATTTCCTTATGTGGTCAGTAAATCTAGCTCCTGTTCTGTCCTATTCTTAGAAATGACTTCCTAAAAACAGTATCTATGCCTTCCTCAGTTCTGAAAACACAACATTACTGTTACTTTTGAGATTCTCCTTAGTGCCCAGGAACTCAGACTGTGGTTTTCTCTCTTCTATTCAATTTATCTAATAATTCTGTTTTCACTTCTGGCTCCTGCATGTGTGCTCCAAACATTGGGCATTTCTCAAAGTTCATTCTGCTCTAAATATCTGTGTATACTTTCTATCCACCAGCTTACTTACCTTCCAAAACTTTTTCTCTCATTTTTTTGAATGATTCTCAAATCTACATCTCCATGTTTTCATATTGTGTATATACTTAGTAAATAATTATAGAATTAAGGGAGAAAACCAGCCAATAATCAACAACAAAAATGTCTACTCATTAAATTTCAAATTTACACCAAATTCAAGATCCATTTTACCTCCACTGATCCAGACAATTCAGCTCCCTGCCCATTACCTATGCTAATGGAGCCTCTAACTTTTGTTACTTAGGAGGACCACCTGAGGTATTAATGCTTTCTTTATGTTGTTCCACAAATTGTTTCTCAAAACCAACCCCCGTCTCCTCTCTGGCTTTTCCTAGTACTGAAGATTGAGTCTTTGCATTGAGCTACATCCCAGACCTTTTGGTACCAGGGATTGAACTCAGGACCATGCACTTGCAAGGCAGGCGGCGGCACCACTGAGCTAAATTCCCGGCCCCAACTTATTCTTTATGTTGAGACAGGGTCTCACTAAGTTGCCCACAAACTTAATAAGGCAGGGCACAAACTTGCAATCCTTCTGCCTCAGCCTCCCACGTGCTGGGATTACGGGGTATGCACCACCACACCTGACTCTTCCAAACACTTCTTGAGTCCACTCTTTCTACTTTGTTCTCATCACTATTACAAGACTAACCTAGTCAACTATTTACTACCTTCCTAGTCTCTTCTCACTTAAGTTCTGCACACGAGTTCCCTATTAATCTTCTAAAAACATAATCCTCTCCCAGTTTAAAGTTCACTAAAAGTTTTTCCTGGCCAAAAGACAAAGTTCATTTAAAACTCTGAAATTTGGAACTAGCATTTCTCTTTCTCCTCCCTACTCATCTATTACTTGCTTAAATCTTGCACTACAAATGAACTAGAACAGTATTTGGGGAACATTTTTAAGCAGCAAAACTGTCCTTCAGAATGAAATCTTGCACAGAACTCCAACATGTAAAAGTAGATGATGGGGAAAAAGTAGATGATGATATAATTACACTTGCTAAGGGAGGCTGGAACCCAGCTCCTCAATCTCAATCTCCTTTCCTGCCACCTGTACGGTGGAATTCATGTGTCCCAAGAAGACAGCCGGAACCCATTCCACTACATTACATCTCTTGGACATCTCCTACAGAAACGATCTCTGCTGAAATTCAGTCCCTCAGTCCCTTCTTTGCCTTGAACTTTCTCCATTCTAGCTCATATGAAACCCCCTAATAAGCCAGCACAAAGTTATTTCTACTTTTGGAAACTTCACTCATTATTCCATTCCAGGCTAACTCTCTTTAGTTATGAATACCGAGAATAAGAATAGCTAGCATTATTGGTCAGAATCTATTCCTCACCACTGTCTGTATTTTTATATAGAGGTACTGTGCACATTCTGTACCTGACAATAATATCAGCTAACCTGCCTAACTTTATGGAGTTTGTATTCGGTGGATCTAAATCTGAACTTAGCCTGACATCAAGCTTGTGCTCTAGATCAGTTCTTTCCAACCTTTTGCATATCGCTGAGCACAAATAAAATGATACTTAAAAAGCAAGAAGCTGCTCACTGTTAAAAGCCCACCCTAGCTTCCTCAAAGGTTCACAGGATCAATACTGGAGTACACTGTAAAAGCACTGCCAGTATGTGAGCTGAAGATCTCTGCTGCACACATCCTGTTAGTGTTTACTGGTATCTGGCATGTAACAGGAGTTCAAATGTATGCGTGGGTTAATGATGAGTGATCGTACATTATGATCAAACTGCCAACAGAAGCAGGCAGAAGAACAAATCAAGACTGAAGAATTTCAATGCCTATCTGTTGGATAAAGCATTGACCAATTTAGATTTCTAGAAGAGTAATATTTAAAACAGTGGCTCTCAACCTTTAGTGCACATTAATTTCCCATGGAAGCATGGAAGTCGTGGGCCCTGTTCCCAGCACTTGATTCAGAGAATCTGCACTTATAACAAACTTCCAAATGATGGCGACACTGAGATCCACTCATCTTTAAAAAATCATGGCAATAAATATGCTTCCTATACTCACACCACAGAAGCCAAACATTTAATCCTTTGATAGCCTGATTGGAGTCATGATGCAAACCAGATTCTGAGGCAAAAGATAAGCTTTTTAAACAGTGCTAAATGTTCCTTGTCCCAATTACAACAGCATAGAGTAGACCTTAAATATGCTATCATCAGGGACAGGAATTCCAGCCAGATAAAATGTGCATGATCTATGTTGTGCTTAATATCCAAGAGAGTCAGGTTAAGGCAATTCAGAGTAATAATACTGTATAAAATATGATTGAGAGGACACATTGCTTTGAGTTTATTAGACGAATTATCTACTTCAATTTAATTCTCGAGGCTGAAGTGATTTAACATCCAAGTTTAAGTGAGAAAATACCTTAGTATTATGTTTTTTCATGCTTTGAATAAAGATTTTGTTAATTTAATCTCATATACAGGATGAAGCTTTTTCTCAGGTAGACTGATATGTAAATTATAATTACAACTAACAAAAGATGCATAAAATGTGATTATGATTAATAAAATACATTTTATTTGCATAAAGCATATGTATGTTTATTTCAGGAATCTTAGAAATACCTTACTTAAGGAATAAAATATTCAAAATTTCAAATATCTCTTATAGAACTGTTCAAAAATCCTGAGAATCCCAGTGCAACTTTCAAATGTTTCCAATCAGCACTGACAAGGGTGAGCTGAAAGGGCTTTACTTTAAAACTTTTAATATATTATAAATATTCACACTAAACACAATTAAGCCTAAGAATGAAAACCTTACATTATAAACCCAGTATTTTTGGACTGAGACAGCAATTGGTTTGCTATAACATGGGTTGTTAACAGAATATTGCCTTATACATGGTTGGTGTTTTAGTACTAAGATCCCTTATCCTCTAGTAAAATACACATTTTAAAAAATGGTATTCAACTATACAGAGAAAGTAAATTGAAAAGAAAAGTCTGGAAGGTTTTTTTTCCAGTGGAATAACTGGCCCATGGTTACATTCAGTATGTGAGAGATTTAATTGTTTTTAAGTTTATTTTATTTGTACATGCTCGCTTACATGATGCTCATGCTCATCTTAAGGAGTGGAAGCATCTGTAACCATGCCACCCTGAACGTGCCTGATCTAGGAGAGGGTCCTGTACTTAACACATCTTGATCCTTTTATTCCTTCCCCTTTCCACCTTCCGCCCTCCCTCTGGCTCTAGCTCTCCCTCCCCCATTTTCTTCATCATCTGGTTATTATTATTATTTTAGTTCATGTTTGTGGCATATAATGATTACATTCATTGTGGCGAACTGGTACATGTACATGACACAGTTTACATCTTTTCAAGTCCTGTCCCCTCCCTCCCTCCTCTACCTTCAGTGTCTTGGTCCCCCTTCCCATTTATATGAGATCTATCTCCCTGTTCCCTTTTATTTATCTTTTGTTTTTTAAATGACAGCAACCAAATACAAAGCAATCCCCAAACCAGCTAACAAAATACCTGACTGAATGAACAGAAGAATTATAAAAGAGAAAGAAACAATGGAAGAGTGAACAAATGTTTTGTCTACTTTGCCATCATTTCTTGCTCATGGTGTATTCTTATTCTTAGTACTCTACTAATTAATGCCATTCACTTTTTCAAATCCTGATTGATCTTCTCTAGAATGAACCACCCTAATAAATCTCTCACCTTATCTCAGCACTACTTTCTTTTTCACCTAAGTCTTTCAGAGTACTATAAAAATGTCTAATATTCATCTTCCAATACAAAATACTCTATAAATAGTACTTTAAGCCAACAATTTTCTATGCCTCTTTAGACTATTTTTAATTGAATATGTTACTTGACAAATAGGTAAAGCTATTAAATTGAAGAGAATATTATCATTTAGTATCCCTTAGTTTATATTTCACTGTAAAAATTTACAATGTAATTGAGAAAAACTTGATCATTTATTTATAGTCTATACAACAACAGAATAGCAAAAAGCCACAGTAATTCATAAATGTAACTTAATAATCTTTTAGTCAAAATAATATATTTGGGGCCGGGGATTTAGCTCAGTGGTTTTGCTGCCTGCTGCGCAAGCTCAAGGACCCAAGTTCAATCCCTGGTACCAAAAAAAAAGCAAAAACAAAATAATATATTTGTTATAATCAATAAGCTAATGGAAATACAGACTATGTATCTATAAAGCTAAAAATTACTGATTATAATATATAAATTTTGCACAACACGTATAATGCAAAATAAAAATCCCATAAGAAAAATTTACATGTTTTAAAACCTGTAATATTGAACACACTGATACATAGGCCATCCCAGATATACAGAAAAAAAGGCAGGTTAGCAAACAGGTGTCCAAGCCACAGAGACCCGGACCTTATGGCGGTGCCAATGTTTGCCAGTGACACTGATTTTCCCTTCCCTCTTCTTTCCTCTTAGTTTACAGTACAAACCAAGCTGAAATGCTAGCTCAACTTCTTTCTCTTTCTACTCCAGAACCACTGCCTTTTTCCCCAACTTATAAATATTTGCCTACTGCAACTTCATGTGTCAACCTGACAGGCTGTGAAGCGCCCAGACATCTGGCCAAATATTACACTGTTACGCTGGCTGTGCCTGTAAGCACGTTGCTGGGTGGAATGAACACCTGAGTTGTGGTGGTAGTAAAGCAGACAGCACTCTCTGGTGAGGGTGGCCTCATCCAGTCGGCTGGTGGGAGGTCTGAACAGAACAAAAGGGCTGGACCTCCTATAAGAGGGAGCCTCCACCTGCTGACTGCCTGGAAGGGAAAGCTCAATGCTCCCTCAATCTTGAGGCTGACAGCACTTGAAATGGAGCCTCCTCCTCCTGGTTGTCAGGCCTTTGGACTTAGGGTCTCCAGGGATGCACAGATGCAGACAAGACTGTGTCGAGACAGCAATCTGTGAGCCAAGGAGAAAGCCCTTAGGAGAAACTAAACTCGCAAGCACCTTTATCTTGAGTTTCCAGATTTCTATTGTATAAGCTACCCAGACTTTGGTGTTTTGTTACAGCAACTCTAGCAAACAAATACATGACATAATAGTGTGTTTGTTACAAAATTTACTTTATAAATATTCTTTGTTCCATAATTAACCTTTTATATTAAGAAGCAAGCCAAGAAATAAAACATTTATATCAGAGTACAGTGTAGTATAAAAGGGGCAAGAAACCATATTTCAAAAATAAAATATTAGTTAGCATGACTAAAAAGAAACCTGAAGCAGGAATGAAAAATCTGAGTACCAGGGATAGATTTTAAAGCAGTTGCTCAGTTTTACACTGACTGATCTCTAACAGTGCTCTAAGAAAGATTCTGTATAACATAATAAACTATTTTAAAGTACTTTTACCTTATTGTTCACAGTATCTTCAAAAGTGAAGGTGAAGACAGTGTCTTCAAAACATTATGTATGTACAGACGCACACGTGCAGTCCTACAGAAACAACTCAGAAAGCAATTCTTACTGACAGTACACACCATCAAAGGAGAAGTTAGCTTTTGTGGGCCTTTGGTTAGCACATACTACTATATGAGTTTCTTTTTACCTCAACTACCTTGTAGACACATTTATCTTTTAGAATTTCCAAGAAGTATACTAAAAAAACAGACCTTTTAGACTTTTGGGAGTAGGTGGTGCAGGAGGAGA